TGGCGGCGGGGGCGGCGGCGGCAGTGGCGGCGGCGGCGGCGGCGGGGCCCCGGGGGGGCTGCAGCACGAGACGCAGGAGCTGGCCTCCAAGCGGGTGGACATCCAGAACAAGCGTTTCTACCTGGACGTGAAGCAGAACGCTAAGGGCCGCTTCCTGAAGATTGCCGAGGTGGGCGCGGGCGGCAACAAGAGCCGCCTCACCCTCTCCATGTCTGTGGCCGTGGAGTTCCGCGACTACCTGGGCGACTTCATCGAGCACTACGCGCAGCTGGGCCCCAGCCAGCCGCCCGACCTGGCCCAGGCACAGGACGAGCCACGCCGGGCGCTCAAGAGCGAGTTCCTGGTGCGCGAAAACCGCAAGTACTACATGGATCTCAAGGAGAACCAGCGCGGCCGCTTCCTGCGCATCCGCCAGACGGTCAACCGGGGGCCCGGCCTGGGCTCCACGCAGGGCCAGACCATTGCGCTGCCCGCACAGGGGCTCATCGAGTTCCGTGACGCTCTGGCCAAGCTCATCGACGACTATGGAGTGGAGGAGGAGCCGGCCGAGCTGCCCGAGGGCACCTCCTTGACTGTGGACAACAAGCGCTTCTTCTTCGATGTGGGCTCCAACAAGTACGGCGTGTTTATGCGAGTCAGTGAAGTGAAGCCCACCTACCGTAACTCCATCACCGTGCCCTACAAGGTGTGGGCCAAGTTCGGACACACCTTCTGCAAGTACTCGGAGGAGATGAAGAAGATTCAAGAGAAGCAGAGGGAGAAGCGGGCTGCTTGTGAGCAGCTTCACCAGCAGCAGCAGCAACAGCAGGAGGAGACCGCCGCCGCCACCCTGCTACTTCAGGGTGAGGAAGAAGGGGAAGAAGATTGATCAGACTGAATGAAACACGCACACATGCACACACACACACACACACACACACAGAGAGAGAGAGAGAGAGAGAGAGAGAGAGAGAAAATATACTGTAAAGAGAGAAAATTAAAAGTTTAAAAGTTTAAAAAAAAAAAAAAACTTCAAGGGAGCACCACCCACAGAACCTCCACAACTGACAGTTTCTCTTCTTGACTCGCCACCCATCGCTGGATGTTGTCCACTTTATCCACCATAGAAAACAGTAAGCAGCTGCTAAAAACAAAAAACAAAAATACAAAAAGTAATAACATTATATGAACTGTGTTTCCTACTTGATTAAAAAATATAAAGAACTGAGTGTTTATTTCCCTAATTAACCAAGAACTTTTGTACACGTTTAAGCTATTATTATTAAAAGTGTTTGCAAAATGGTCAAGATTATAATATTGCTGAATTATATAAAAAGTCCTTTTCATGTTGAGCTAACATTTGACTTTAGCACAAAAAAGAGATATTTTAGAACACGTAAAATAATATTTTTAGTTTTTCTCATTTTGTTACCAAATTTCAAACCTTACATGGAGGTTATTATAGTATATTTGACATCCTATATACCTGTGATTAGAGATGTGTATATATATATGAGGGCTAGGCATGCTGTGTGTCTGAGCTTTTGTCTAAATGTTATGCAGAAGTTTGTAGAGTTAAAGGTACGTAGGTTTAATTCATGCAAGGTAAACAATAAGTGCTCTCTTTTATACAATATGCATTGCATCTGGACCTTAAACATATAAAAATGGTCAGTGAAACTTCTGTGAACATGAAGAAATTATTAAAAAAGGCATTTAAATGAAATTTGCTAAGTTGTGATTTTTATGGTTGGAACGCAAGTTATTCAAATAGTAAAAGGAAAAAGAAAGAAAAAGGAAATTTCCCATAATATTTTTCTGCATCTGTTTGCTTTGACTGAGTAGGCGTTTTGTTATTATTGTGTATATGAGATGTACTTGTATTGTTCATAATATATATTTTTTATTATGTGTAGAAATATTTTAAAAACTTAACTAACGTGCAGCAATTTCCAGTGAACCTGTACTTGGATATCAGGTAGTGAGTCTATTTGTGGTCACTAGCACTGTCTCCTAAACTTGTAAGAGGTCTAAAGCTATCCTTTGATTTTTGCCAGTGCTATTAACTTATGTAGACCTGTTAAAAAGCAGAGCAACACAATTATAGTTATCCTACTGAGCCATGGATTCTGAGTTTCATTTTAAAAGTGAAAGCCAAGTTGGTGTATGTAAAGGATTTCCATGTAGCTGTGGTGCTAGTTATTACTGGCTACATTATATGCTAAGTGTATTTGTGTTCCCCAAGTGTACAAGCCTTCTATCAAAAGTATCTTCTATTATAACTCATATTCAAAGTGTAGGGTATGAAAATGCAAGCTTAGGAGAGCACTTTACCAAGCTGGTGTCCTCCACTGAAATTGTTTGTAACGATAGTCTTTTACAGGTTTTCATTTAAAGATGTTTGTGTGCTTTTAATTGACAACTAACTTCTTGCTGCTGTATAGTAAAATATTAATATATTTTTATCATTAAACTGCTGCATGACTATCATCTTTGAGTGAAGAGAAAATGTTATAAAAAAAAAAGATGCCTTAAACAGTACATTTTGGTTTGGACTTCTGTAGAAAGTATTTTGGTAAAAAAAGAAAAAAAAAAAAAAGAGGATATCGGATCTTGTCTGACAGAGAGTTCTGGGTATGTAATTGTTTCTTGGCAAATCTGGCCATCTAGACCTAACTGCTGTATGTAGAAGAAAACCCTCTGTAGGAGTGGGATGGTATCAGTGCTTCTCACATTGTAAAGCATTGGCCTAGGAAGGCAAAACAATTGTCTTTTTGAAGGATTTCTTTTTTTTTTCTGCTGGTTCTTTGGATTTTTGATTTGGTATTTTTAAGCTGCCTGGTTGAGTATGTTGTCTTTGTTTTTGAGATCTACTGTATGTGTTGAATAACAAGATATTTTCATTGTACTGTGCGTTTTTCCATTGTTTGCTTTTAATATTCATACAATGTTAAATATGAGGTGACCGGACAATAGTTAGGAGTTTATTTACTTAAAAAAAAATCACTGGAAATTATTAAATTGCTTTCCCCCTTCCCCCAAGGTGCATTTTTATTATTTCCATATAGTGAAGTTGAGCTTTTACAGTGCATAATGTGACATTTGGAATGCTTATCAACTGCATGTAAACATTAATAACCTGCACTTTTTTGTCTTAAGGTTTGTTGAGCTGTTTTGTTCATTGTACTTTAAACTGTGATATGGAAAAGATTGCATTCTCTGTGCTGTTACTAATTAGGAAAGAGAATTGCTTTGATTTTGTCTCTTGTTTACTACTATAGCTTCTTAAAGTTAAACCTTGTACTACAGGTTGTTGGAGTACTCCTAGATCAGTGTTTCATAGTAGCCAGCAGTAAGTAGTGCAAGCCACAAAAACACAGCAAACTTAGGCAAAGTGTCCTTTCTTTGAGATGCCAGTTCTTTCATAAGGTTTTCTTTAGGCTCAGAGTTACCTAAAGTGAAGCCTTTCTTACTTACAGACTTCAGATTCTGCTTGGAATCCTACCGGATCAAGAAGCACATCATTGTGCAATTGTCTTTACACTATAACAGTTAAACACAATCTTACTAGGATTTTGAATCCATTGATTTATGGTCAGTGGGTTTAAAAAGAAATCCACATGCAGATCTTTTAAGACTTAAGAAATGATCATCAAAAACACTGAGTGACTGTAAAGATGCTCATTTTTTTTTTTTAAGCATCTCATTTTACCCTCCCCATTGACTCTCTTAGCCTTACCCTCCCCAGTCTCCTGTTTCACCTTTCCCCACCCAGGTGCTCGGTACTTTACCAAGGTTCTGTGTCTCAGTATATTATGTTAGAGTCTCTTGTTTTTATTTTACTAGTTGGTAGACCCTGTTTGTGCTGAAGGGGGGGGGGCTATATTTGACCATATGTGTTATTTTTAGAAAGACAGTATGATCAAATGTGCCAAAAAGAAGCAAACAAAACTTTAATTCATGACAAGTATGCCTTATTTTTTATGATCTGCTTTGTCTTACAATTAAGGTCCAAGAACTTGGTTAAACTATGTTATTTGCCTAAGTAAAAAAAGAAAACTTGAAATGCATTGAAATACTGACATTCTTTAAAATGAGAGACACTGTCAAGTAATTTAATCCAGAGATCAGCCACCAGATTTGAGATGGTGTGTGTGTGTGTGTGTGTGTGTGTGTGTGTGTGTGGTGTGGTGTGGTGGTGGTGGTGGTGGTGGTATTTGTGGCTTTGTTTTTCTTTTTAAATCACCAAATCTTTTTTCTTTTTTTAAAGCTACATTTTATTTGTGCCTCCTATTTATCATGCTGATGTTAGAAGCATCAGTCATCCAGCCACAGAGGGGAGCTAAAGTTAACTAACCAGAACTGTAGAAATCATACATGCCTTTGACAACAAAGGCAGTTCATAAGAAAGCCATGTTGGCTTTTCCTCTCAACAGATTGGAGGTAGATGAATATTTGCCAAATGAGGAAAAAAAAAAAAACAAAAAAAAAACAAGAAAAAAACAAGAATCCTAGTCAGGAAAGACAAACTTGTTTTCCAGCTTCTCAAAAGCCATGGAAAGTAGAAACCAAAACAAATGGGAAATTTTAAAAACCTTGAAAGTCTCACTTTCTATTCCCATGCAGGGGTTAAAATTTGACTTAAAATGGAAAGTATATTAACTTTTTTAGGCCTTTACATCTAGAGATAGATAACTATTCCAGTTTGATTTTTTTTTTTTCAGGTAATGGAGAAAGCTGCTAATTTTAACCCCTGCTGAAAGAAGACAGATAATTTCATTTGGAAGCAAATACTTATTGCCTTGAGAAACAGCACTGTAATAGTCTATGATAATTAGTTATAGAATAACCTTTATCCCTTTCAAACTATGCAAATTATTAAATAAGTGTAAATTAGTCAATTAAAGATAGTTGATTATATTGCAATCAGATGGCATTCACAAACTTAACTGGAACGTATACAAATAAAATGAGTTTAAGAGGATTTTTTTTTAATACTGACGTAAAAATATAATTTAGCTACCTGTTCTAAAAGTGGTGAATAATAATTGTATAATAGGCCTGGGAAGACTGCCTCCTTTTTTGAAGAGAGAGATTAAAGATTTTTATAATTGTTTTTCATCAAATTTTAATATTTTTGTCAACTTTTTAGGTATTTAATTTGTAAAACAGTTTGCTTTGTACTGGCATACAGATAATAGGGTATTGATCTTAACCTTTTGAAGCCAAGTGATCAAGAACATTTGTAATAAAAGTCAATGGATCGATATCAGTTGTACTCACTGTTTTCATTTCTTGTTCTTATCAATGTAGGAATGGTGTACTTTTTTTCTTCAGGAAAATGGGGCTAAATTTGGGTGGAAGGAAGGCGAAAAGATAAATTTGTTGATAAGAATCTGGGTGGTTATTGCAGCCCAAGCACTTTAGAACATCATTAAGTGGGTTACGATTTACTGTATTTAAAAAGATGTAGTGTCAGCTTTTTTCTTCTCAATTATTTTTGGTCACGTTATCTCATTTTGCTTCTGTGCTTTAATATCTTATGTTTTGGCAATATTGAAACTTTCAAACCAGTGTTTTTCTTTCATGACTTTTTGGGTTAATCTGCTAGCCATGGTGACCCTACAAGTGGGCATGATTTTATTTTTATCTTTTACTACATGGCTTACCTTCTCATATACAATATTTCCACTAGTTTATTTTTTCATATTATACACATGTATTTATTTCCAGATGATTCTAGAATGGGGCTTTCTGAAATTGTTCTGGTAGCTTTCATAGCACCACAATTTTTTTTGACATGAACATATTTTTAAGATTTCCCTATAAAAACTGAGATAGAAAAAAAAATTTTTTTTAATTTCCCCCTTTTCAGAGTCTCATGGCTATCAAAATGAGATTATTTTGTTTACTGCTTGAAAGAATGCTAAGACAAGAGCATCTTTAGCATCTTGGATTTGAGCAGTTGGTGATAACTCTGAGTATAACATTTATAGTTGTTATCCCTAAATTTGAATATCAGTAATTTTAGAGCCACATGTACATACATACCTATTTCTTCATGAGAATGCATGCTTAAGCAAATTTTCGAGTTATGCAAACTTGTCTTAAATTTTACCAGTTTTTAAATCATACATTATAATGTTTCTGTTTTCTCCATTAACCAGATTTAGGCCATTTATAGTGAAGTACACTATAAAACTAAAGTGATCACTACTATTAAAATTACTATTTTCACCCAACAGCATTAATTATCATAGTCTTTACAGTTTGCAATGTATTTTTAAGAGAAGCCAATTTTAGTATTTATGAAGCTATTTGATCCTCAAACCACACCTAAGTTTAAGGCCTAGGCCATTTGACCAGCTCTTTTTGAACAGAAATTTCATTATTATGGACTAAGTAAAGATAATCTAAAATAGCAGTAGCATAGTCAAATTAGCATTAGTAAAATTTCAAGATGCAAGAACAAACCAGTTGAAATACAGGAACTATGATTGGTTCTAAGCCAACAGTTCTCCATCTTCCATCTACCAAATTGACTACCAAATGTTGATATTAAATGATCTAGGCAGTTTATGTCTTCAGAAAAGTTGAATATGGAAAAAAGTTACTTGTAAGAATTTCATAGTTACTCATCCATTTTTGCCTCCATGTTATGTTTGCTATTTCCTGTCTTCCATTTTATTTGTTATTTCCCTTCTTCCCTCCCTCCTGTTGTCTCTTGATTTTTGTGGAAAATTGTTTTATTGGTAGGTAGAAACATGGTGGTGACCTGTGTAAAATAGTTGCTTTTTATGTACCAGATATCTTACTGTTCTTGGAATCATAGGTTTTTGGGTTACAATGAATACATATTTTTATTATTAATTTTCATATCAATTAAATTTTGTAACATTTCTTGATAAAAATTTAAGCTGATAAGTTTAATTTTCCTGATTTAGGATCCACTTTAATAATTCAGAAGGCCTATAAGTTTAAAGACCATGTTCTTGTATTTTGGAATTGTGAAAACAAAATATTCTTTCAGGTATATGTTTTGGTCTAAGATGTATTAATGCAGAAAGCTTCTGGGAGGATTTAAGATGTTCTTGTTAAAGGATAGGTGACACCTACTCACCTTGACTAGCTCAGACAATGCCAAAGACAAGGTGAAATGACAGCACTCATTGAAGTTGAGTCAAACTCCCATGTTGCTGGATTTGATTGACATTTTCCCCACACAGTTAGTTGGTACTCTTTACTGACCTCCTTACCTTGTGTATCTGACATATTGGCTTTCCTATTCCCCTTTTCTTTTGTTTCTCCTTTTCTTTATTGTTTACATAGGCCTGCTGGTGGCATTCAATTCAGATAGAAGTTAAGAAATTTCTGCCTCTTTCCTTAGAACATAGCTAACTGAAGATCCAGAAAGATTTCTGTATTTTGAGGTAATTTGGCAAGTTTTTTTTTTTTTTCTGTTTTCCCTGTAGTCTTAAATTGGCAATTCGAAGAGCATCTTAAATGAACGTTAGGAAATTTGTGAAATGATGAGTGTAAAAAGTATGTGTTTAAGTTACTGGGAACTGTGACTGACTGGTTTGGAAATTTAAGAGCAGGAAGGAGAAAGCTGTTTGTGAATGGGGTGTGAGAGGTACATGGGAGGGTGGTTGGAAGTAAAGTGGGAGGAATTTTTATTGGCAGTAGGAAAAAGTACTAAGATGAAGTCTGAATGAGAGTTGTTTCCTAAGAACAATGAGGTTGATCTTCATTGAGGAAGTTTCAATGCGTCCCTCTTTGGCTAAGAGAAAACTGTTGGTCTACAGCTACTTACAATGATGCTTTATACAAATCTGTTTTTATGTGTACAGTGGTTTGAAGATTTTGATAGGATGTTCACTTTGGGGGACAAATTTAAGTAGCACAATTGTGGAATGGTAGCTTTTCTGGTCAAGGCAAAATTATGTTAGGGACTTACTTTTTCAGAAAAAAAGATAACTGCTCAAGCTTTTTCAATTACCATTTTTAAACTATCAATGACATTTGTCATTACAGACTCTTTTCTTGGGTTCTTGTCCAAATGTAGTCTGTGTTTGCTTTTCAAAATGATTCTTGCAGTCCACAAAGATTCATACCCAAAGATCCTTCCTTTACAGAAACTTTACCCTTTGGTCCACATAAACATTTTAGAAGACAATAAACGAGGTAAAAATCACTGAATTCCTATTTAAGTATTGTTTTTATTTCTTCTTTTATTTGTAATCCTAGCAGCCATCTAATATTGTAGCCCTTAAGAGGCCCTCAGTAATACATTCCTGAAATTAAACAACATTATCCCCTAAACTTATATTTCTGTTTATTGTCCCACTTTCTTTAAAATTGTAGAATTTCCTAAAGTTAGTGTAGGCAGATGTCAATTATATAATTTAATATCTTCCAGGCCTCTTATGTTCTTTGTAAAGTAAGCTCACAGTGTTATCTGTTCCTATAATCCTAGAAGTGTTTTAAATTATTTAAGATAAATAATACTTGTTTTTAAAGTTACATAATTCAAATATATTAGTTCTGCTAGTAAATTTACTATGGATTTAGTCCCAGTAATTTTGACAAATTACCTTCAAATTTCATTTTAATCAGATATCTGTAAATCAGTGATAAAAATTTGTTTTCAGTAGCCAGAAGGACGTTCTGGTTCTGTACTTGGAAGGTAGTCTTTCTTTTTTCAAATGTTAAATTCATTAACAAATAATAGGTTTATTTTTACATATCTTATTTTGCAGAGTTGGCACTTGGTATAATTTCCACATTTTATTGTGTCAGATTTTTAAATTATAATATAGTTACATACTATAGTTTAAGTTTGTACAGAACCTTCTTAAATAGCCCCTCCCATAGGAATTGTGTTTTTTTTTTTAAAAAAAAAGTGAAGAACCAGTGATTTAAATGACTGTGAGACAAGTCTGAAAGGCTTCCTTGAATCTAGGCAGTGAAGATAAATTATAGCCCATTTCTATGCTGCATACAGTTGTTAAAGTTCAATATCAATATATAAAAGTGCAAAAGTAGAAAAGATTATGTAAAGTGGCCTATAATATTTCTAGTTTTCAGTATTGCACTACTTATCTTTGCACTTGATTCTTTGAAAATTAAGACTAGTCACTTTCACTTTTGTTTCTAGTCTTTTCTAATTTCTTGTAGAATTGTTTTCAAGATCCCACCCAAAGCAAAACTCATATGCAATTAAATATGCTTTATAAGGCCAAGAAAATATTTGTTAGTGTTAGCTATGTAATAGTAACATTTGTTTTGATAAAATTTTTAATATGGACCTTTATTTACCAGTAAAATTCTTTATAAATATAAACTTTATTAATACCGTCTAAATAAAGTAAAAGCTTAGGATAGAAAATATATCTATGTATATGAAATGATGTCTTTAAAATCCAACTTCCAGCCTAATGTGGTCTGGTTTTGGACCGTTGGTATGTTTTCACGTTGAGTCTTACTGGGTCCATGCTTAAAGAGTGGGAAGTAAAGTGAGTGGCAGGTAGCAGTTCCCTCTTTCATGTAGCTTTCCATAATTTTCATATAGTTTCTTCATGGTCTGTGTGACATTGCTGGTATTAAAGTAATTATATAAAATGACTATTCCTTTTTGGAATTCAAGATTGACTCACTTTTTGAGGGAGGGGGACAGCAAGGATTAATAGACTTTATTTTAACCAGAGGTAGTCTTATAACTTCCTTGATGTGATCTATAGAAAGAACAAAGTATACCCTATGAACATATTTTTTCTCTTAATGAGATTGTGCAATGCAGTATTCAGTTTTGCAAAGAAAAAAATCAAGTTTTTTTTTTCCAATAGAACAGAGATGTATTTTTGGCTAAAATTGTTTTACAAGTTGCTTAATGATTTCATTTTATATTTCTTTCCCCATAGCTTTTTACACACCTCATGCTTAAAACCAACAAGTAAGAGGCCTCTTTTCAGATGTTTATTTTTGAAATGTCTTGAGTGTGTTTCTGGATGGGGGTGTTAATTCTTGACATGCTCCTCTCAGCATGCTTTGCTAGTCATCGTGGATCTTATGTTTGCAAATTCTGTTAAAAATTCAGTGATGTATTTGAAATGAGAATGTCTTTTACAACATGCTGTGTTTGTGGCTAGATTCTGTTGAGCCTGTAGCTTTATTTTTAATTTAAGTAGAAACTTAACTTCCATTGTCCAGATTTTAGGTTTATCTAGTGGAATTGTGCCAGGTAGTTGTCTAAATATGGACCAATTTTGGAAATGTAAGTTACTGAGTATGGATTTGACTCTAGATAATCCTGTACTCAAAACCACAAATGAAAGGCTCACATCATTAGAGTTACCTACATTTTATGTTGTCAGATCTTTAAATGTGGATGATGTTCAACATTCTATGAATTTCCTTAGGAAAAGAGAAAAATTCAGTCTCTATACTGTTTCTTGGAGGCTAAATTTACCACATATGAAGTGAGAAAACTGTAGCAAGTAGCTTTATTTTTTTAGTGATGTTTAACCAGCTTACTTAATTCCTTTTCCTGATTTGAAGCACTTATTTCCCAAATATGAATAAAGGGAAAGATCAGCCCTTCTCCCCTCCCCCTCCCCTCGACACTTTGAGGTCATTTTTGTTATCTGCCTCCATTTCCCAATCCTGGTATAAAATGAATTACGGGTATCCCTCTTAAATCCCTGTAACCCTTTTTGGAGAGTCTAGAAACCTTTGATAATCAAAGTGATGAACCCTCTTCCCAGAAAAACAAATGCACATATACAGATAATTTTACATACAACCTCAGGGTCATCACTCATCTTTGAAACCCAAGTTAGGAGTTTTTGCCCTAAGTAAACTGTAGAGAACATTGTAATGCAAATAATCGATAAAATTAGGAGCTATTGGCTTGAACCATTTCAGATTGGAATTAATATCAAATGGTGGCCCCTACTAGGAAAATGTGACATTGCAACTAGCTTTGTTAGACATTATAACATCCAGTAGAAAGAAAAAAGAAGTAAAGTTTTGAGAGCTATTTACAAGGAGTCAGGTCATCTCCAGATATGGGAGCCATTCCTGGTTCAAGGTAGGGAGGGGTCAAGGTGCCTGACAGCTTTAGCAGGGTAGAGTTTGATAAACCACAATGCTCAGGATGCCAAGGGGTTAGCCATTATCTTAACCCCGTCCTTACCAAAAGATTTTAGTTTTGTCTATTGGGAAACAAAATGTCACTAGGGAAAAAAGTTGCCTTACAACTTTGCTGGAACACATCAGTTTGGTGATGTATGGGACACTAGTATTATTTTTGAGAAGGTGCATAAAACCAAAGTAAATTAATTATTCTCTATGTAGAACATTATTTACTAGTAACATTTGTTTGGGTATATTAGCTTTGACAATTTTTACCAGTAAATACCGATTTTATTTAAAACTGGGAGTCCAGTTTATATATAGGATACTTGATATATCCGTCTTTTCCCCATGTAAAGAATAGTTTAAAGATTTATGCATACTTTTTACTTTCCTCTCTTGATACCATGGGTTGGGGGTGGAGGGTAGGGTTCTTTGACTCAACAACTGACAAATGTCTTCAAATTTAAAAATCAAGAAGCAGCACTTTAAGTCTAACTCTACACCATTTTAATGCATGTATTAGTTTAATAATGATTTTTGGTGCATGCCTTTGGGCTTACTCAAAAGTGTACAATAGAAAAGTATATTTCCTTTCTTAGAAAGGAGATGTTTTTCTACTTTGCAACATGTGATTACAAAAATCTTCCTCTGTGGGAAGATTATCCATATATTGAACTACTGAAAAGTATATATTTTTAGATATACAGAAGGAATCTACATGGAGCAGCATTCAGACCTATATAGAAGTCATAGCATTCTGTATAGGACCAAAAAGGAAGTAACATTAAACACTTAAACAGACTTTGTTGGGTAGAAATACCTTTAGATCTTACATTGACTTCCAAAAAGAAAATGCCACAAAAGTTTGTTGAAACTTTTGTTTGAATTTTCTCTGTCAGTGTATTTAGCCCAAATGCAATAGCATTGGGTTAGCACATATGTAAGAATCAGAAACAAAACTAAATAGATCAGTCTGATTTGCCAATCCAGCTTGACTGAAATAAGTATACTAATCACTTGCAACGTGAAAAACTGTCCAACTCCTCTAAGGTTTTGACAAAATAACCTTGGCTGATGTGGGGACACTCCCACTTTGATTTCTGACCTGACAGTGAAGATTCATGCTTGACATGATTTTAAACCTGACAGTGTCTGTTTAAGGAGCCATGGTACAGTTTGCTAATTCAATCCCAGATACCTGTTGATTACCTGTAAGATCTAGAGTCCAAAGTAGCCAGCAGCCGTATCCCTGAGAGCTCTGTGCCCATCAGATATCATAAAGTAAGCAGAGTTGGGACAGGTCACAGCTCTGATGATTGACCTCAGTGGACAGCCCCAGATTCAAGAATTGTATCTGCTTTCTTGGGAATCATCACTGAATGAATGTCCCATACTGTGTTACTTACTGTAGATGCTCTCTAGGAGGAGGCCCAGAGCACACATCCTAATTGCTTGTGGTACTCAGAGAGGGGGTGCTAACTCTGATGCCCTGGTCAAATTCCAGTTTAGGGATGTGGGTCTTCTTATCAAATTGGAAATGTGCATTACTTCCCATTTTTCCTGTTGCTGTCAGTGCAAACTACACTAGTCTGTTCCTTTGCCCCAGTCCCAAGTCTCTTAAGATACTGGTGTCATATGGGCCAAGTTCATGCCTTATCCTAATACACAAGAGTCAAAGAATGAGTGAGCTTGGTTATCAGGATGCCCTGTACTTGGAGGGTGGACTCTTGTGATGCTTGGGGATGAAATCAGCCCTTGTTTAGCATAAGTTGGGGAATGTGCACTGGCTGGAAGCATCCAGCCATAAGATGTGAGCTGAAACCTATTTTCCCTCTTTTCTTATAAAATGAGAAAATCCGTTGGGTTTTCAGCTGTCAGGGAAAGCCGGAGTTCTGCAGTTTTAATCTGGGTAACTAAGCCTGGTTTAAGTAAGACTTTGGTAAATTAACTGGGTTCTCAGATGCCACAGACTCCGTGAGAAGTCACCATTATTTTCAATGGTTGTGATAGAATTTCCCCCTAGTAGCCATTATTTTAAGGTTATATTACAGAGTTGCTTTATTTTGAGCTTTTCATGTATACACAATCCCAAACTGGAAGAAATTTTAAAAAAGGAATCCTGCTGTGAAAGGTATATATTACTCTAGATTTTTCTTACTGTAAATATTGTAAGATTGTAATACTGTCGATATTTTATTAACCAACAAATGTTAATCTATGTGAATTCAGACTTATTTTAAATGTGCTTCTTATTTACTGTGTATGGTCCCTGTTGCTGACAGTATTAAGTTATATTCTGATGTAAGATTAACTTTATTAAAGAATGTAAACATTAATGTTTCCTTATGGGAAAACAAATAAAGTATAAAGAAGACAATTCTTTTCATTGAAATATACTGTGTATTTACACTTGCTAGACCCAGCACCACTTACAAATTTAGTACACTGTTCAGAATTTTAGTTAACACAGCTGATGTGGTTGTGCTCTCTGTGAAAGTCTAAGCATAGGTATTGTTGGAATGTGAACAGTTTGTATTTGTCTGCTGTGAATCATCTTGAAATTTCTAATCAAGTTTGTAAAAATTTTTATAGTAAAAATTTTAATGACAATTAAAAAAAATGATCTTCTCTAAAGAATGGTCAAAACAATGTCCTTTCACAAATAGAATTGTTCTTTAATATCTTTCCAAAATGACTTTGGTTAAATGGACCAGGTGTATATTAGTTAAAATTTAGGACTAAGTTGTTGTTATTCTTTGAGTTTACAAGTTAATCCTTATTGGAGATGTGCCAATATAAAGTGGAATATCATTAATTTGCACTGTTTGGGGACCCCATTTAAGAATGCTGAATTTTGCCAACTAAAAAATAAGCAAATGCAATTTTAAAAAATAAATTTGAACATTCTGTATTAAATATGTGCAGTTATTATCATATGAAGAAGCGCAGTGTGTTGGGCTGTAATATAACCATATTTGCTGTCATGTTCTCCCATCTCAGTGCTGGGAACTCACCACGTGGAAACCAAGCAAAAGTGTTGTGCATCAGCCGGCTTGAGTTTGTTCAATATCAAAGCTGAAACTAGCGAGGTCTGCTGTACTGCTTATTGAAGTATTGTGATTCTTTTAGGCATTGATTCTTAACAAAATATATACTGTAACAGTATACTTTGTACAGATTTAAATTTTATTTGAAAAATGAAATAAAGTAGGCAAAAAATAAAGATGTTTATTTTTCATGTGACTATATAAACAGATCAGTCTTTTGTTTCAATGCTTTTGTTGGGGAGGGGTCTGGGTGGTTCTTTGATTTGTTTTGGTTTTATTTTTCTTAAGTGGAAAAAAAATTTTAGGACCTAGCAGCAAGTATACCACTTGCCTATTTACTTATTATCATTAATTGGCTACAAATGTGCTCTCTAATATGGGAAAACCCTGTTTTCTATTTTATCTTAAGGCAGATGTGTTATTTATAAGATTTTTATGTGAATGGCTTTCCTGTCTGGCTCTTGGGTCAGTTTAAAAAAGAGTTAACTAATAATGTGACAGTTAACCCAGACTATAATGTTAACCAGGCTACCACATTGAGAAGGAGGAGCTCTTCCCATGGAGCATGCTCCTTTTCTGTGGAAGCTTGTTTCTGTCATCTTAAATTTGAAGATGGTCTGGGATTAGAAGTGGACAGGTTGCAGGAAAAGTCCATGGCACGAGATGAAGAGAATACTCTGGAGGAAATGGAAGTGGTACCTTGAAGTAAGAGCCTTCTCAAAATTGCTTTTCCAGTGAGTAGAATGGAGGAGGGAAAACTAATGGCACAGGAGTAATCCTTCAGGACACTTCGATTGGGGCATTCTAGAAGAGTAGATTAGCTAACCAAGGAGAACCACCTCAGTTTCGACCTCTGACTAAAAACCTCGGAGACCTCAGGTATATATTTCCTCAACTTTAGGAAGTAAAATTTGAAGTTTATTTGTGGCCTTTTCATCTTTTTGAAAAGTTTTTATTTTCACATACCTTCAAGCAAGATAGGAAGAGTTGGAATGCTTAGGTCTCCAAGTAGTTTCTGACAAAAGCTACATTGAGCAAAATCTATCAATGCTATTTAAGTATATATGACAGTAGTTATATATTTTTTTAAACTAATGCCTGGCCATAGAATACCTCAAGTTCGCAGTATTAAAGTTCCAGGCTTTTCTGGGTGAATCGGTCCCAAGAAAATTGACTGTTCTGTGGTTTTCTTGATAAAATGATCCTCCTTTTTAGAGAATAAGAGTTGGAGTTAGTTTACATGTGATAACCACAACTCTAATAAAAGTAATGAAGCTTCATCAAAACTTAGAGCTAAGGATGCCACTGTTTGGGAAAAGGGAGGAGTGCCTAAGAAACTAGTATGCTTGTGTATCTGTGCTACTAGGGATTGAACCTAGGACCTCACACATGCCAGGCAAGCATTCTACCACTGAGCTATATCTTCAACTCTCTTAAAAAACCTTTTGAGACAGGGTCTCACTAAATTTTCCAGGCTAGCCATGAACTTACTCTGTAGTCCAGACAGGCCTTGGACTTGTGATCCTTCTGCTTCCATTTTCTGAGTAGCTGGGATTTTAGGCCCATGTCAACAGGCCTGGCTAAGAAAATGGTTTTCTCTAGTTCTGCAGTGCCTCTGATTTTAGGGGGCATACATAAGACAGGTGGGTGCCCCCTGAATAATAGATTCTCCTCCTCAAGGTCAGGGAATCAGATAAAACTTATGGGTCCCTTTCTAAAAGGAAGGCTTTGAAGAACAGGAGCTTGTAGTGAAGAGTTCAATCAGGACTTGTTCCTAGTAAGTTTAAGGCAGTAAAAATCCAGGAGTCAGGCTCCTTTCTTACTGTCCTGTGGTCCTTTAAAGACTTTAACAGAACCATGATAAACATGCCAGGGGTGAGTTTAGAGAGTAAGAACCTAAGGTGAGGTCCTACTGTCCTGCAAGGCACATCTCCCAGACTTGGGATAGGTGTGAACTTCAAGGCAAAGCTTGGAGAGCTTAGGGACTTTCAAGAATGGAACCCAGTATAACATGTAATAAAACTGGCAATCTCTTTCCACCAGCTCCCTTCAGTGGCTGCTATTGGCTGTAAAATTTTATTCAGGATGTGAAATGTAACTTATTTTGGCTCATTTGCATACTTTTTTTTAGAAATTCTTATTCTTAGTTCCAGTAATCATTGCTTTCTAAGGAGATAGGACCCCCCCTCCTTTTGGGTACTGGGATTTGACAGGACTTTGATTTAGGGTACTAGGTTTTGGAGGAGTTTCTGCTCATCCAGGATCAAATGAATGTGATTGCTGTTTCGATGTCTGCTAGCTCTCCTTGGGGTCAGCATCTTTCCCCACATTTTGAAAACTTTAGAAAGAGCTGCATTTTTCCCTGAAAATGGGATTCTTCCTTAATATTGCAAATCTCCAGCATGTTCCCAATACTATCAATGCAGTTTTCCTACTAACATTGGTTTTCACTCACTTTGATTTGTTCACATAGTCATGTATGCTTAGATTGTCAGAATTGTCACCAAAGATACTGAATGTTCCGGTGTTCAAGAGTAGGATATCCCTATCTCACAGCCAGCAGGGCTGTCAGGTTAACCCTATCATCTTAGGCAGCCTGGCTCTTCCATCCTGTTCAACTCATACCTCAGAAATCTGCCAATCTCCACAGGAGTTTGGCAGCAACTCCAACCTAGTGAGCTCTTTTTTTTTGTCTCTGGCAGTAGCACTAAAGGTGGGTCTATGTTGGCACCATCCAAGCCCACCACCTTTTAAGTACTAAATGCTTAAAATTAGACACCAAACTGTTTTACATAGGTTATTTCACTTCATTCTTACTCTAACCTCTTTGAGGTATAGGCACTGTTATTATTTCCACTTTACAGATGAGAACATTCACTATGGCATCAAATGATTAACATGCTCAGGGTTTCACAGTCAGAATTCAGAATTCAGGTAGGTTGATGTCAAAGCACATCTGTGGTCTCAGTACTCTGCTACATGGATTTTCCTAGGAAGTTCTACTTCCACATCCCCCTAGTATGTAGATCTGACTTTGACATTGCCTCACCTTGCTGTGTAGTAGCTGGATGGCAAAGCCAATGTTCTCTGTACAAAAGAGGTTCCTCTGCATAGCTCAAAAGCCACACTTCCTGTTCTGGACTGAGCTTGATTCATGAATGAATCCACATTTTCACTTCTCCCTCCCCTTTCATGAGGGAACGTCTTAACTCAGAGCAGGTCTAAAGGAAGCTGGCAAATAGCCCTTCCAGGGCTCTCTCTACTGCTTTTGCTTAAAGCAAACACAACCCCAAGCTCTATTCTTACTTTTCCACTCAACCAAGGACTATGTGAATGAGGCTCTTGAATTATGTCTTGTTAAATTGTGTTTCCTTCACAGTTTCCCCAGATTCTACCTGCACCCTCCAGAAAATACCCTTTTTTTTTTCCCTTTAGTGCTCCTGAGTCCATGTGGCTTCAGATAATAAGCTCAACAACAGGATCAGCAAGTCTTCAGGAGAGGATCTGGGTCTACCCAGATTCCCAGATCCCAGATCACCAGTGGTTGACTCAGTTGGATCAGCCAAAGCTAACTTGTAGTCTCCAACTCAGAATTTTGCGTGGGCTTTAAGTTCTGAAGGCATTTTCCTGTGCCCTCTAGAATGCTATTTCCAAGTTGTTTCCTGACCTCCAAGGGTAGGTCCGGAGTCTCTTTCTTTCTCCAGGGGCTTCTTCCAAAAGTAAAATCTCAAATTCCTTGGGATTTAGGGGTGGTTTAGAGGGCTGTGGCATCTCTTAGAACTCTTTTTAAAAAGGAAGATGGTAATTTAAACTTAAGCCCCTTATGATTTTTGTTATCATTTAAATCAGTGGTTTTCAAATTGTGGGTCTGGATCAAGAGCATTATCACGCCCTTGGAGATTGTTGGCAGTACTAACTCTTGGGCCCTACTCCAGACCTACCAAAGGAGAACCTCTAATACGGGCCCAGTGCCCGCTGTTGTAACAAGCCCTCTGGGTGATACACACTAAAGTGTGAAAAGCATTGTTTGCAAAAGAAAAGGTTCTTGATTTCTTTTGAAGTCTCAGGTTTAATAATGTGATGAAAACTGGGGCTCTCTCAACTACTTCACAGAACCCCACCCCCCCACCAAGTTTCAAATTAAGAGTTTCTGCTCTAGACTTTAGAGCTGTTCATCCCTCTTCCACTGTTTGCTCTTTCATCCATCCTGTCAGATGTCATCCCTGTAGGGGACAGCACAGGAATAAGGGCTTGCTGATCCCTGTATATGCAGCATCTATAACCCATTGATGATGAACAAAAAACCAAAATTGCAACCAGGCATGGTGGTACTCGCTCTTAATCCCAGCACTAAGGGAGGCAGAGGCAGGTAGATTTCTGAGATGAAGGCCAACCTGCTCAACATAGCAAGTTCCAGGCCAGCTGGGGCTACAGGAAAACCCTGTCTCAAAATCAACAAAACAGAAAACAACCAAAAAAAAAACACCCAAAAATGCTAAACTGGTGTAGTGGAACATGCCTGTAATCCCAAACATTGGAGTCTGAGTGAGGCAGGATTCCTCACAACTTGGACCACAGTCCAGAAGTTGGGCCTTACAGAGACGTGACTGCTTCTGGAGCTGGGACCTGAGTATCAGCACAGAGTGCTAACCGCCTCTGCAGTAGGCCTGGCTGTAGCACTGTCATTGGTAAGTGTACGTCACCCAAGAGAGAAACTCCCAAGACAAGGTCCAGGCTTTCATTCCCTCACTAAAAACATCATTTAGAAACTGTTTTCACCTGAGTAGCCAGTGACTTGGATTGGGAGTCCTGCTCAGCACTTTTTTTAAAGAAGGTCTGCCTGTAGCCCCAGCTGGCCTCGATCTCACAGATCTCCTGCCTGTTGGGATCAAAGGTGTTGGCCACCACACCCAGCTGTGCTCAGCTTTTCAGGTCATTCTTGGGCCATGACTCCAGATTGTACTCAGCAGCCTCATTGGGGAAAGCCTTTTCTCTAAAACCGGGGCCTCCTAAGAAGGCTGACTAAAAAGAATGCCCAGAGCTGTGGAGGTTGGCCTACTCTGGGAATCTCCCCCAGTGGCTAGTAGAACCACTTCCTTATTCTGAGAGGTGGCCTAGAGGAAAAAAGGCCTGGATTGTGGTGGTTGGTGGTGTTTTTTTGTTTTATCTTTGTTTTTTCAGGCAGGGTCTTACTAGGTA